TCAATCTGTGGGGTTTTAATAAGCTTTAATAGCCTATAATTCCAACACCACACCACACATCTTCAGACATCTTGAGAAATTCAACTTATGGGCACAAATGACACATTTTACAGAGTGACCAAGCGGTGCTGAGTTTGTATATGTGTGTGGGAGTAGATGCATTGCCATAGAAACCTGAAACACTACAGCAATGATTCCCTTTGGAGTCAATTACTCATTTTTTCATGAGCTGAATCAACACTTCGACGTGGGAGTTTGTCTTAAGTAGTACCTTGTGCTCAAAAAACACAACCAGAGGCAATCACGGCAACTGATAATGATAATCTCATATGATGAAAAATGACCTTGACTTGTTGTAATATCAGAATGTTCAATATAATATCATTCATAGACATGGTTAAAAACTAAAAGAATATGAAACAAAAAGAACTTAATTAGATGTGCTATAAAGATTGGTAACACTTTATTTTGATAGTCCATTTGTGTATTAGTAGACTGTCTGCTAAATATCCGTTGATACTGCTCCTTCAACAGACATTTAACTGACTATAAGAAACTTTGCAAGTACATGTCAACTTACACTAACCTTAACCCCAACCCCAACCTAACAGTCTACTTATAATCTATTAAGAATTAATTAGCATGAATATGTAATGTAACTTAAATTCAACAAACGGATCATCAAAATAAAGTGTGACTAATGATGTGCATGTGTGAAGTTTCCAACTAACACTTTTAGTGGCCATAAATGATCTTGTTGAATTGTAAAACATGATAGTGTATTATGATAGATACATGAAGTCTTGGAAGCAGAAATGAGTTAAAACAGTGAAAACAGCAACATTCTATACAGTAATTCATCAGGTTTAAGTAGAAACTTAGCTATGTGTCCAGGGCTGGAGCAAACTGAACTAGGCAAAGGACTATCACGTTGCCCTCAACCCAAAAGTGAAAACGAAAGTGACCGGTTAACAAAGTTGATGACCGGGAGAGGTGGAGGAGAAGGTGTCGGACGCCGCCCTCTCTATACTCTATTTCCGCCTAGGTCACCTCTATGGATGCGCCAGCCCTGCATGTGTCATGTGACATCAGCTTTTGTTATAAGACTTTTTATAATAGTTGGTAAGTCTCATGAGTCATGTCTTTAGATGAAAAACGAATGTACCTCGTTTTTTTATCCAATAGCCATTACTGCAAATTACAAATATATAAATACACAGCAGTTCTATCTGGTTCCCGAATCTGATTGACTGATAACCAAGCAATATTCCCATAATAACAGAATTCTTGTGTATTACTCCACTCACATAGAGTGACAGCGGATGAATAAACTCACTACAGTTTGACAAATATTGCTGCTCTTGGACAACATACTGTCACCTTGGAATTGTAAGGTTCTATCTGTGTTCTGAATGATTGTGAGATATTAAACTTCAAATTTTTTGCATTCCATAGCATACATTATGTAACATTTGTTTTTTTAATAAAAAGTTTTAAATGTAAACAACTTATAAAAAAAAAACCATAATGTAAATAAGTTGTTATTCATTAAGAATGTCATTAACTCAACTTTCACAAAAAATGTCAGAAGGATAGTGCCTATTTTTAATTTCAGAGATACAGCGCTTCAGCATCTATCAGCCTGTCATACTGAGCAGAGCAAAGATGGTTGACGTTGTCCATCCACAAGATGGCGACAAAGATTGCATGTTATAAAAACAAAATATCACACTCGTAGCAGTGCCATGTGGCACTAAGCACGCCTCCCACCAGTGCCGATATACAGTACAGCCATGATTTGCCATGATAACAGTTCATAATATTTGACTAGATATTTTTCAAGACATTTCTATACAGCTTAAAGTTACATTTAAAGACTTTACTAGGTTAATTAGGTTAGCTAGGCAGATTAGGGTAATTAGGCAAGTTATTGTATCACGATGGTTGGTTGTGTAGCTTAAAATAGCTTAAAGGGGCTAATAATTTTGTCCGTAAAATTGTCCTTAAAATGGCCTTTAATTAATATATATACGCACACGCACACACACACACACACAATAACATTTATTATGACTGCTTAATATTGTCATTTGTTTTTAATATTTTTAATTACAGGTTAGAATAAACATGCTGTTTCACTTAATAACATTAATCATTGTTACACTGAATGATTATGCAACATTCTTTTACACGTATTTAGACTTAAAATAAATAAAGAATAGAGTCGATGTTTAACTTGAACTAAAAAAAATTATTACTTTTTATTATTAGTTGTCCACATAAGATGATATGGACAACAAAATGTATATAATCTGACTACTACTGGCATACAGAAAACAAACCCTTGTAATTGAATTCAGAACATGCAGCGCTGCTTTCCTCTGCAAGTATAATAGCTGACAAAAATGAAAATGCTTCTTCAGGAAAAAATATTAAAATATTTTTCAAGCTATTACATAAAAACAAGCACCTGATCAATTACTATCTTTTTTTCCAAAATACATTCTACACCAGCAACAGATTTTTACGAATTGATGCAATCATTTACTCTAATACTTATAAGAAAGCTACAATATTAGTAACATCCTCTCTGAAATATATCAACAATAGCAAAAAATGCTAAAAACCATTAAACCTATTCCTTTCCAGCAATTTAACAGCACTCTCAAAGAGCCTTAAAAAAATGTGTGTTCCCTTCTGTCAAATACATGTGATAGACATTCTATCTAGATGGGGGCGAGCTGTGGAACCACGTCCCATAAATGCTGAGACGCATTCGAAAAACATTTGGTTTGAATTTGTCAGGCAAACATCATAATCAAATCCTTTTGGCGACAAGGTATGATTACTTATGCAAGTCAAATTTGTATAATCATAAGCTGGAGTATATGTGGTGAACTGTGCCAGCCTCTGCAAGCCCACGCCACTGTAGCATCGTCTAAACAAAGTGACCACCCTAAAGTCCAATACAAGAGAGCCATGTTTCTGAGCGCTGCATATCCACTGACTTGCAATAGTAGTTTTATGCATATTTAAGCTCACACATACAGAGAAGCTTAAAGCAATAGAAAGTGTTCATTCTGCAACAAAAAACATGTGAAGCTGCAACTATTAAGATGTGTTTATGACTATGAATGTAGCTACTGTACGTTCTGTAGGCTATACAGTGGTCTGCCGGTGCAATAGGACAATACTATTTAATCCAACTATTAATTATAATTCTATTAAATATTCACCCTCGTGTTGGGATAACTGGATTTGCTTACCTATATTTGAGAAACACAGGAGATGATAGACTGAATGGCAGCTTTAGTCACCATTCACTTTCACTGCACTGTAAAACCCAACAGTCAACTCCATCAAATGAAATGAGTGTGGTTAACTCAATTTGCTGAAAGTTAATTACACTCATTTGAAAAGACTCAAGTGTTGAATGTAATGAGTTAATTAAATACCTCATTACTTCAACTTAAATGGAGTAAGTTCACAGTACTCATATAGATTCGTTTTTTTATTCTGGGTTGTAGCAAATGGTTTGTAGCAATCGGTTATTTAAAGTGTTTGAGTTGCCTTAACTTAGAGTTTTACTGTACTCAGTTGGTTTGCGTTGTCTTCATTTATTGGGTTTTATTGTGCTTAAATTGCTTCATTTACTCAAATGGATTAAGTTTGCAGTACTCATTAGGATTAGTTTTTGAACTTAAATGGTTTGTTGCATTTGGTTTCCTCAAATGGTTTGAGTTTCCTTAACTTATTGGGTTTTACAGTGTGTATGGAAAAAGATGCTATATGAAGGTGAACGGTGAATGAGGCTTTAAATTCCCATCATCTGCTTTCTTGTTCCACAGTTGCAAGACGGTCAAGTTTGGAGCTATAAGCGCATCAGAATTATGACATAATTTTACTGTGTGGTTAAATTATTAAAGGATGTAATCATTTATTAATGCACTTCACAAATTGGAAGATGTGAAGGAAATTCGCATGTCATTTTAATAGTCTAATTATTTTGACAATCTGAAACTGCCTTTTTTTTGTTGGCCTATTTAGTATTCATAAAGGTTACATTTCTATTCCCATTACAAAAAAGCACTATTAAAAACTCTGTCAATAAAGAATTGTTGTCAAAATGTCTCACTATATGTGTGTCGGTGTCTGTTAAAAAAAAAACTGAAGTAAAGGAAAGTGAACAAACTTTCCTAATTTAAAAGTGCACATGACAAAGTCAGGGGTTTATCTAAACTGACTATGGCGAACTTTAATTTCTGTGGTTGATTGTATTGCTAATGATTAAAGGAATACATTCCTACATAATTAATTAATTATTAACATAAATTTGTATTTTCTTATTGTTTGTTTATTACATGCATGTCTCTTTACAATATATTCAAACCATTTAAAGTATGCAAAAAATAAATGGCCTTTTTTCTTGTGCGCATTGACATTTGGCATCTGTTTAATTAAGTTACAGAAGCCACTAAAAACATTTTGATAAAAGTATACAGAACCTTCCTTCTATTACACACTAAATGGTTTACTTGTATCATACATCTTTTTGCATTTTCCTTTTTTTATTTATTAATTCGTTTGTCATTACTGATTGAAGTTGTGTATGCACGCCACACGTACACTTGCTGTGCATTTGTATGACGCTTGAGGACTTTAATGTTTGCTGACTGTTAGCCATGTGTCTCTTCTGTTAAATCCACAAAAGGGAAATTAATGTTGAAGATTATATAGCTTTTTTGAGCACATTTATCAAAAAAATCCTATAAATGAAGTATTAAAACATGTTGATGATCTTAATTGTTTTAATGCGAATTATTTGTATTGCTGTTTTAGATTTTAATAGCCTAATTATGCTTAGGCAAGGATGCTTTTTATCCACAGCCCATATTAAGCCTATAAATCCAAAATATACTCATGCATACACATATAAATATAGGTTATCCGTGAAAGTCGGTTAAATGCATCTGTAAAGACAAAAGACCGCCGGTACATACCCTCTCCAGGTGACATGGTGAAGCAGTGCAGCTTGGCGGTGTGATGCGCGTGAAGTTTGAGATCTTCGGACCCGCAGCGCATCTGTATCGAGGCGGGATTCACAGAGCCACAGCCGTCAGCGGGAACGCGTTTCGGGCAGATGTCTGCTTTACTGCTGAACATGGAGAAAGTGAGCTCGGTGAAATCTGTCTGATGACTGACCATCCCAAAGAGAGCTGCAGATTTCTGCATCTGGACATCTGACTTCCAAGTGTGCATGTCCCGTACTATAATAGTCCTTATAGTTTTTTTTTACCTGTGGAGGAATGAATGATCACGCCATGAACAAACTCTTAAAACAGTGCTCTGAAGCAACACCAAAAACAAATCTCCAAATGTACAGTAACACACAATGAATAATTAAATCGCAGCATAATTTGCGGTAGACTTTTTTTTAAAATATAACTACCTATTTAAACCCTCCAACGCAAGAAAGAGAGGATATTTTGATTGTATGATGACTCTCAACTTCTGCGTCCAACAGGCTGTTAAATGTGTTCTTACCGACCGCATCCTCTCTCCCGTTTCAGCTGCAATTTTATGAGTTTTCTATAGCATCAATTCTGAAAACCAAAACATGCGTCCGCGCTTTGATTGACAGCTCGACGTTCCAATGAATATACGGGGTTGAAAGGGGGAGGGACCAATTGAAATTATCTGTATGCGATGAGTGATGAAACTGATCTCGAGCCGTTTCGAACTTGGAATAATAATTTGCATATCACTAAAACAAAGCTTTATAATTTAGTAAAATCATTTATAATATAGTACACATGAGATTATAATCCCTACCAACAAAAACAAAGACATCATGTTTTGGACAAAACGCCAAAAGCAGACTTTAATAAATATTCAATGAGGGAATTACTTAGAAGTCCACACGTGGCATAAATGTAATGTATACTTTTTATTTGATGAGGTAAAAGAAAAATGCTTGCAGAGAGCAGTGGGATAAAAATAGATAGCCTAGTTGTGAAATATGTACAAAAAGTTGTTCTCAAACATACCAACAGTGACATCTTATGGACATTTTTAGATTCTAAAACTGACAAGTCTGGGCTTCTGATATGACAAGCCTCTAGCCAGCCGGGTAAATGGAGTGGTTCTTTTTGTGGACTTAAAGTGGACTTTTTGCAGTTATTCAACAAATTTTTCATTTAATTAAGAGGTTTAAATACTGCGTTTTAGCGACATTAAGCACATATAAATAATTTATTTTTTTTGCTAGATTAGTTTGGCAGATGGTCACTTTTGGATGTATTAAAAATTTTCTAAAGATTTAGAACAGAGAAACATGAAAAATAGGCTACGTATAGTTAAAATACAAATTCATTACAATATATTTTACTAGGGGTAAAAAAAAAAAAAAGGAATTTGTTAAAAAAAAAATTATTAAAAGCTGTGGCCTGCTGTCATGTATCAGCTATTAACAAACTGGCCAAAAAAAAAAAAACTCTCCAGTCAGAATTTGGCCATTTGAGTAATAAAAAATTATAATAATGATAATAATTTCAGTTTCAACGGGATTCAGTTTATTAGTTTTGGCCAGTGCAAACTATTATTTTTTTTTATCAATCCAACATCCATTTTTGCAAGAAAACATACAATTGGATGCAAGTGAAGTCTTCTTCACTACTGTATTGTTTTTAAATAGAAAAAAACATTTTACAAGTAACTTTTATTCTAAATGTTGAACCTTATTCATGAAACAAAATATCCATAAAAAGCACCAAAAGCAGCGCGTATTAAAATAATTTGAGAACTAATTTGGCTAGTGTTATTAAGTTACTGACTGAGAAAAGTTGAAAGTGCTGGCCAGTTTGTTATTTGTCTAATAAATGGCAATAAGCTAGTTTTTAATTCAAAACTTTAACAGACTCTTATTTTTTTCTAATGAGATATGGTTGTATTTTAAAAATAAGTATTTAGTAATTTTTCTATATTCTAAATCTTTAGGCAAAAATTTGGTAAAAATGCGTCTTTATGATGACCACCCGACAATCTAATCCAACTTTAAATACTTATTAAAATGTGACAAAAATGCAGTATTTAAATCTTATAAATATATAACCAATGTGGCGAATAACTGCAAAAAGGTACACATTTTGAGAGAAAAAAACACCCCTTATATCAGGCTGGTTACAGGACTGTAACGCCTGTTTCACACCGCAAGCGTCAGCGGCGCGTGAGCAGAGCGTGTAACTTTTTATATAATCTTATTTTATAAACTTAATCTTACACAATATCAGTATTTCTGCTTTATTTATTTTTTTTACCGAAAACCGGTCCTTAAACATGTGCAGGCAAATGTTTAGATGTAATCAGTAGTATCGCCATGAGTATCGCACATTTAATAGAGCCAAAAACTTATGGAATTCTATCTCATGAATAGTACGCAGAGTGACGTTCTGACGCAACTAATAAATAATCATGAGCGAAGACTTTGATTCGATTCTCCTGATTTCGCCGTGATATAATGTTGTGTTTTGGAGGATGGCACGCCTCTTTGGTAAAGCAGGCGAACTTTGATATCGTTTTTGTTGGTGAAGTGTTTACAGCACGACGCGTGCACTCGCAAATCTCTCACTATGGGGTCCGCAGTGGGATTTGCGCTGAGAAAACTTTTTGTTTATATATCAGCCGTGTTGATGGTGTGCGCTGCGATCCTGCGGATGTCCATGTTGAAGCTCCTGTCATTCATTTCCCCTGGACGCATGAGGAAAATCCATATGAAAATGGGGGAGAGGACCACGATGACCCAAAACCCCAAATTCAGATACGAAGACTGGGGACCGGCTTTCTTCTCTCTGGCGTTCATTAAAACCTTGTTCTTCGTCAACTGGTGCTCGCTGGGCCTCGAGGCGTTTGAGGGACACTCCGCTCCGGACAGCGCTTTAATTACCCTGGACCGACAAAAGACGAGCGTTCATCGTTTTCTTAAAGGTACAGTAAATAACATGCAAATTATTATTATGTTATTCTAATAAATATGATAATAATTTGCATAACGTATTTACTTCATAGGCATCTTTTTGTCTCTAGGTAGGATGCCTATGAAGTAAATAAATTATGCAAATTATATATGTATTAGAATATTTCCAATATTTTAAAAATTGATATTAAATAATAATTGTTGTTTTAATCTTAACTGACTGCACAACTCTACGATTTAGTTCCATTTGCTTAGTTAATATTGGTTTGCTTAATTAAAATAAATAAACTTACTGCACAATTAAGATTTTATTTTTTAACAATATTTTATTATTTATTATTATTGCACTATTTTAATTAAGCTCTCAGGTCACAAGACTTTTTTGCATTTAATTATTTGCTTATTACATTAAATTACATTTATTTTAATGTTATAAATTTATAATTATTATTATTAGTAGCAAGTTTGGTTATCATATGTGAATTTGTTTTGATTTTATTTAAATTATTATATTATTTTAAAATTATAATTCTTATTATATTTATAATAAATCATTATACGAACGCTACTGTACTGATCCATTCTTCATTTGTTTTTTTAAAGGTAATCGTCCCCTGGTTCTGAGTTTCGGAAGCTGCACCTGACCCCCGTTTCTCTACAAACTTGACGAGTTCAAACAGCTTGTCAAGGACTTCAGCAATGTCGCAGATTTCCTCATTGTTTACCTTGCTGAAGCTCATGCAACTGGTAATAATCACAATACTGTAGCAAGTTTACAGCAGCCTTGATGCAACAATAGGGTGTGTTTATATAACGCAGAGTCATTTGCATAATTGTTATAGATGCATGGGCCTTTAAAAACAATGTGGATATCAGCGTGCACAAAAACTTGGAGGAGAGGCTTGCTGCGGCTCGGACCCTGCTCAAAGAAGACCCTCCATGCCCTGTGGTGGTGGATGAGATGAACAACATTACTGCCAGCAAATACGGAGCCCTGCCCGAGCGGCTCTATGTCATTCAGAGTGGCAAAGTTATCTATCAGGTAAGTATTTCGCAATGCTGAAAAACTGCATGCAGTACAGGAAATGCCTCCACAGTTTCATAACAGCTCTCGTGAGAGCAGTTGAGAGCTGCGAGTGAAACCTTTGGAACATTTTGACCTTGGCCAGAGGCTTTTACATGGCCCGTCCTTTTGCAGTAAGAGATTTCACGTGTTTATAGAGGTGAAAGGTTTGGAACAAGTTGAACAACATGAGGCAAAGCATGAGTTTTATAGTCGCCTGGGTCTGCTCTTTTGCTTTTGTTGCATTTTTAAGCTCCAGTGTGTTGTATAGTCTAAATATATCCATCCGGAAGTCCACAGCGAGGAAGGATTTTCACTCTTTTTATTCTTCCTAACAGGGAGGCATCGGACCTTGGGGGTACAAGCCTGAAGAGGTTCGAAAAGTTCTGGAAAAAAGTAAATAAATGGAGAAGAATGGCAAAATGTTTTTTATCTTAGCACTTTTCTGAAATTGTAGCGCCTGGACTCATTTTCTGAGCCTTCTTGTTTGTTTGTGACGGATACAGATTAAACTGAACAGTTTCTGTAACTTGATGTTTCAAACATTGGGGCGGATGGAAAATGCAAGTAATGGTAGCATCAGTAGCATATTTTTAAGATATAGATTGCCTATATATATATATATATATATCAAAATATAGATTTTTTTGTTTAGTTTTATAAAAATTAAGCTTTCATGCAAATGTAAAAGCAATGCACACAATTATCATTCCAGCATTTACTCAAATAGCCCATAAATATCTGTCAGCACCAATTGTAATAAGCATGTATGCTTTTCTGGGTTTTCTTTTAGAACTTGTGACTGTAAATGATGCTTACAGGGTAAAACTGTGTGAACTGTGTAAACTGATGATTCAGTCATTTGTTCTTAAAAAAAAGATAAAGAACCACAGATCACCAAATATACAGAGTTTTAGCAGCTATTTAAATAAATTATAAATCTCGTAAGAGTCAGCGTATTGAAGTATGACTTGTCTATAAATTTGGACCATGTCAGTGGTGTTCTTGACATTTAATGGAAAAAAAAGCTGTTTTCATTTTGAACAAATCTTCTAAATAAATTACATAATCATAAATACAAATACTATAAATAACATTATCTACATTTTATGCATTTTACATGACAGCATTTTATATTTAATTGAGAAAAATCTTCATTAGCAGATTGCAGAACAAACTAATTTTGTTATACTCAAACTCAATTATACTGTAAATTTAAAGAAACTGAGAATTTCCAAGTGATCTCTCTATTTAAACAACAAAATCAAAAATGAAAAAGGCTTCATTAACATGGCTGCACCAACTCTGCAAAACTTTCCTTCATCAGGGTGAACTTCTGATTTTGTTGTTGATCTTTATGAATCCCTCATCCAAAGAGCCCTGCCCCACATTAACTACCCTTGAAGCACCTTTTGTTTGATTTTTGATCTCCATTTATTCCATTGCAGTATATAAATACTAAACAACTATAAGTATCAGAACTATTCTTCCATCTCAATTCTTATGATTGTATTTTGGACTTTTGTCACGTTTTATTTGGCAGTCAGGATTGTGTTGTTTTGACAGCCAAAAGTGGTGCAAGACGTCAGAAGATGAAGCCATGTGGCTATAAAACAGATTAGACTCAAGGAATAAAGGTTAGGACTGTTGAGTCATTGTCATAATGGTGTTTTTCACACAGTGCTTAACTCTGGGTTAGTGTTACTTTAAATAATGTATGCCTTGGATGATGGAATATTTCATAGTTCTAATATAGCAGAGGTGTTAGCCCTGCTCTTTAGCTAGAGTTATGAAACCTCTTCAGTGCCAAACGTTGTTGTTACAAAGTTCAGGTTTTGTAACACTCAGGTCTAGCAAATCATCTCACATGCTTTGGATAGTCCCAATAAAAATGCACATATTATCTAGATGGTCATTTTACAAGTTAAAAAGATTTTAATTTGTGATGGAGCGGGGTTCAACTGAAGATAAAAAATTATGGTTTCAGTCTTAACTTTACAGCACAAAAAAGTCCATTTATGAGGATGTGCAAATGCCAGAGCCTTTACGTAAACAGGTTACCTGATTTGTTTGGCGTATCAATGAGTAAGTTTACATGGAAACCAATAATTCGATTTTAATGCGATTAAGACAATACTCAGATTAAGAGTACCTTGTAAACAGCAATTTATTGATTTATCCAATTAAGGTCAAACTAAACAGAAATCAAATTAAGATGTGGAGTATGCCGATTTTAGTCGTATTATTGAAGTGCAGTACAGACATTTAAACACCTTAATCAAACTATTGCCATTGTGTAGGTATTTTGCGACAGGATAGTCTGTACACACATGGCTATTTTACACTATTCTCAACACCTATCAAGTTTGCACTTTGCCACAAATATGTTAATAAGGAGCATGGTTTATGACTGACTGCACTGAAACCTCTGCATGAATATCCAGAATTAATTGGTTATCCAGTGCATAAATTATGACCAGTGTCAAATGTAAAACCAAATGCAAAACCACAAAATAATACCACAAAATCAACATGGTTTAACCATGGTGTTTGTAGCAAAACTGTGGTTATACAAATGCTAGTCAAAGCACACTCACAAACTCACAAATGTTTTTTTCCACTCTACTGTAAAACCAAGTCTAATATTTGTAAAAATTAAATTAATAGCTTGTTTTTTTCTTTCCTGGATATAGGATCTAAAATATTTTACTATGCAGGAATGGATTTAAAAATATAATTCAATAAATCAAATGGCTGAAAAAGTATATTAAAGTTAATTAATTGGTTTAAAATAGTGGTCTTGTACTCCTAAAACCTCTGAAAGTCTGTATTTTAGTTGTTCTTAAAGGGATAATTCACCCAAAACGAGAGAAAGAAAAAAAAAAAATCACCTTATTTATTTCCTACCTGTGGTTTCAAATATTTATGAATTTCTTTTTCCTATTAAACACAAAAGCAAACATGATCAGTAATACTGGTTGCTGGCACCAGTTTACTTTAATTGTAGGAAAATAATTACAATGGAAGTCAAGGGGTGCTAGCTATCATTATGTCTTCAGCAGAATAAAAAAAAAAAAAAACTCTAATTAGGTTTTGAAAAAGTGCAAAGTCAGTAAATAATGACAGCATTTTCAGTTTTGGGTAGAAATGTTATTATCATTATTATTGTTGTTTTTACAGCAGATGAACCAGAAGAAACCTATTAACTATAGACCATTTCAATGTGGTGGTGTCATTGGTCCATAAACATTTCCTGCTTGTTGTTAAATTATTTTTTGAACAGCAACAAAAGGCAATTTAATCATATCTTAACGTTAAAACTACTATAATAACATTATTTATCAATATGTGGACCTTTTTGGATTCTTGTAAGCTTTGGAAATTAGAAATTTATTATTATAAAATTGTAAAACATTGAAATACATTAGGACCATTGTTATTGTTTGCATCCCTCAAAATGGTCTATATAAGACTGGGGCCTTTAAAATTGTTGGGGTCAATTAGGAAGTCAGAACGGTTTTAAACCAATTAATTCTAGCATGTTTAGCGAAAAGAAAGCCAAACTGTGCAGTAAAATGCCAAAATGCGTGCAGTGGAAACACATTTTTCTAATAAAAAATAAATAATTTTTTCCTACAGCTCCTAATAGTATTAAAGGTAAAAATGTTGGGCCAACAACCCTCTATCACCGTTCATGATCACTGAATATTTGAAGAGTCAAACAAAAGTAACACTCACCATCTCCAATTTCCAGCCGCTCGGGCAGACCTGTAGGACTCTCATCAAGCACTTGTTCTTTCTGCCCATTTGAGCCATGCCCACTGCTGGACATTTTACAAAGCGAAAAAGTCAAGTGAAAACAGACAGAAAGGCTTGAGACAATTTGGGAACAACTTTATCTTACATCGAAACTGGTTCACTGATTCAAAGAGAATGATTTACATGGAAATCAAATGGCTGGATCTTGGCCCTCTGGAGAGACGCTACCCTAAAGAAGTCGGGGAACATCAACAGCTTTACATCATTTTCCAAAGTTAACTTCACATTGAACTTTCCCTTTTCTCTTTAAAAGCAATAAGCTGGAAACTGAAGTCAGGTTGAAACTCTGCTTTCCTGTTTGAATTAGTATGAATGACTGAAAAACATTACAAAAAAACTTAGAAAGGAGCCAAATAATTTAGTAGTCAATATACAAACAAGCCTATTCAGCCCACAGTTAAGTATGATGCACAAGCTAAAAAAAGCAGTGCAAAACAACTACTAAAATGTAAAACAATGACCAAATGTCTGTATAAATAGAATAAGTTACCATTCTAACTGTATTATTACTTTGTCTGATGTTGCTCAAATAAAACCTAACACAAAAAAAACCCCAAACACACTAGAGTCTGGCTTACCAAGGCGATGTCCTTTTGAGGCAATATCAAACCATTTCAGAGCTAAAACAAGAGGCACATGGCAGGGAATTACATATATAAAAGAAGAAAAACATGATATGGGTAATCTTTAACCATCACAAATTCATTATGACATAATTAAAACGCAACAGCGGCCAAACATTTTGCAGAGAGACGCATCCAGGCGTGCGTAATCCAGTCACCTGCCCAAAGAGCTCTGAGAAGGTCTCGTAGGTAGTATGTTTGTAAGGGTCAGCATCTGAGAGGATCGACGTATCATTCAGTCTTTGACCAAAGATTGAGACAGCAGTTACATTTCAGAAGAAATAAACAAGAAAAACATGAAATCAGTGCAGAAAAACGAAATCGTAAGTCATATTCAGGATGGGACCCGTCAATGCAGTTATTCCTTAAAAGCAGCTGCTTAATAATGCTTGAAGACGAAACAAAAATGACAGTGTATGAGGAAAATACAACTGTGAGTCTTCCCGTGTTCAGAAAAGACTGGACTCTCTCATCACTTGATGGAGAAAAATCAAAACAGGTCATCGAAAGGCAATAAAATATTCACAGAATTCAAGGCCACATATGAGAGTTCAGTGTCAAGTCGGAGGAAGTTTGGTACGTGTAAACCATGCTGAAGTTGGATGTCGGATTTCGAGAGAGTGAACTGCGGCTATTCCTCTTCGGCACAAAATGTACACACATCCAGCAATTATGTCAGCGGTAACCATACTTCGCTTCTTAATAAGAGATGGCCTCAGAGGGGGGAACAAGAAAACTAAATCCAGGAGCATTGAGTCACATGTAGATCTTCAGCTCTTGGAGAGAAGAAAAGATTTGCTAGCCATTGAAAAAAAAAAAAAAAAAAAGTAACAACAAAAATGATATTGATATTGCATGAGACCACTTGTGAGGATGCAGGTCAGTCCCACCCAATTCCAATTGCTGTACATGTACTCTGTCTGTGTCACTGATGGCCAACTGTGAGTTTCCAGAATGGAGCAAACAGACTGGCATCAGACGCTCATGGTCATGGAAGGAGAGTACTGCTGTAAAGACAAAACAAAAAGGTCAAAACCGGAAGTTGTTAGAACTTAAATCAGCTCACACATGCCTATTAAAAAGTTCCAAAGACTGAAGTATATGACCCTGTAAATGTAGAATCAAGGCTGAGAAGATTACTTTTAAAATTAATGTAAAATACATGCTTTAAAGGGTCATTTGTAATGGACTTTGTTTGATTACTCAGGCTTGGTAACAATCTAAACACTGCAATACGTTGAAATACTGAAGCTATGTTAAAATACTGCAGTTTTATCCAGCATTTCAAGCTTTAAAACAAATTTAAACATACCCCATAAGTATCCAAGAGATCTCGAACTTACACAAAAGATTTGTTTAACAATTGGACTAAACTTTCAAGATATTACTTTAATGAAAATCCTCTCGATTGAGTGGCACAAAGTAATCACAAGTCAAAATTGACAAAGAAGTGAACGGAGGGAAGTGAAGGCACAAAATAAATACATTTTAAAAATTAATCATCGCTCGGTCAAAACTGATGGTCAAAGCAAATAAATGTTACAGTTTAAAGCAAAAGCAATTTAACAAACAAAGTTTACCAACAATGCTTTAGGGGTGTCTAAACTCGGTCCTGGAGGGCCATTGTCCTGCAAAGTTAGGTCCAACCCCAATTGGACACACCTGAACCAGCTAATCAAGCTCTTTCTAGGTATAGTAGACACATCCTAGCAGGTGTGTTGAAGAAAGTTGGAACTAAACTACACAGGACAGACACTCCAGGACTGAGTTTGGACACCCCTGCTTTAGGGAAACAAACCCCATTTCTTTCCAGTTTGTGAATTATTCACTATGGTTTAAAATAAATCATTAATTTAAGATTGACTCAAAAGAATGATCCGTTTACAAAAAAATTAGATTAGTAACATCTCATTACATCTCACAAAACAGAGGAGGCTTTAATACTTGATGTGTTCGCCGTAGTGGTATTCTTCAGAACAATAGGGGCGCGGTCAAAAGAAAGTCATCGTAAAGTCAGTTTGGTATACATTTTCTACATTGTATCATTTATATTGTTTAACATTCTTTATTTATTTATTTTTTTAATAATTTATATTAAATAATTATATAATTTTATAGATTTAGCTCACTCCACAGTTCATACATTACTGTCTGGCTAGTTTGTCCTCTACTTAAATGCTAAAAAGCAATATTGATCCAATATTCCTGACCATTATCACCAATAAAACCCAGTATATCCCAGTATTTATAAAAATCAGTATATTGTAAAAATCGGTAGGTTCAGATATACTTTTACACTTATCAAAATAAATAATTTTGTTACTTCATTTGTGTTTTATAACTATTAAATAATTTTAAATTCAACATTGTAATATATACAGTACATCAGTGTAAAACCTATAAATAGTGGAAAAACATATTCTGTAACTGTTTAATAAAACCACATGGGTCTCCACTTTTGCCATGGTCTCTTTTTTTAGTTTTTACAAAATTATCTAAACTAAAATTATTTCTAAACTTTAACAAAAGCTGTTGCAATTTCTAGCCAAGAATTATTGGCCATACGGATTATCTCTATGATATTGCATGGACGGATCATAAAGATGTCTGTATAAGCCTCAACACTGAATATCAATAACGTTCAACGATGCTTAAAATATATGATGAGCAAAATATTTTCACAGCAACGTCCCTTACATCACGCTGCCTAGCCACATCCTGCACACTTATGTTGGTCTAAAGTTCTTCTAGCATCAGTTATGTTTCATTTTTAAATGTTCCAGCATACATCCATTTGAGAACCAAAATATATGCAATGTATGCGAGTTGCTAGCATTTTCCAAACCGCACCTTTATCTATTATCTATAAAGCACATTCAAGGTGAATGATTCTTACATTCTCATTCTGGAAGGAGTGAAGGTAGCTGCCTCCAACATCTTCATCTCTGGGGGTCCCGGGGGGATTGCTCATGCCACTCATGTTGTTAGGAGAGTTCTGATGAGAAAATGTGAAACTTAGTTTAACATGCTAGATGAGAACATGCCAACTAAGCCCAGTTTTGGATAGCTCTTAACAAAAATGCTAATGAGATTTTACTATTGGATTCTTGTAGAGATAGGCCCTGTCATCAATAAATGGTACTTAAAACATTCCCAATCCCTTCTGCAGTCCTATTTTAGTCCGACTTTTTCAAAACTAATAAAAGGTTTTAATTAATTTACAAGCAGAACACTGCTGATAAAACCATACAATGCAAAATCTGTGTGATGCAAACGGAAGTGCAAAAACACACTCATTTCTGGCTTTTAGGACTCATTTCTGCATAAGCAGTAGTTCACCCAAAAAAGGAACATTTCCTCACAAAAGTGTCTCTAAACTTTTCTAAAAATGTTTCTTCTGTTGAGCACAAACCAAGATTTTGCAAACAATGTTGTAAAGCAATTAACCTTTATAGTAGATACAAAAAAAAAAACTATACTATGGAAGTCTGTGGCTGTTTTGTTCCAACATTCTTCAGGATATCTTCCATTGTGTTCAGCAAAAGAAACTCAAACAGGTTTGAAACAAGTTGATGAGTAAATGACAGAATTCTCATTCTTTTGGGTGAACTCCTTTAAATAGTTTTTTACAGCAAGTTTTGAAGTATGTTTTAAAGTCACCCGAATATAAACAAAGTCTAAAAATTATAACTCACCTTTGGAAGACCATCCAGGTCTCCTGAACCTACAAAGAGAAAAGAGACAAAATTATTTACAATTACTTTTAATTGGATAGAATTTTCCTTTTTTAAATTACAAATAGAAGCATGTGTATGTACCTCCATTCATATGCATCGGGTCCATTCCTGCCATGGCCCCTAGAGGGCCCTCAGAGCCTGGGCCAATGGGAAACTAAACAAAACCAGAGGGAGATAATACATTGAAAAAAAAAAAACAACTGAGTGCTGTCATCAGACAGTAATGATGAAAAAGGGTAACATGAACACAACCAGAGGCACTTCTGCTGCATTAATGTACTACAGCAGGCAATTATGGAACAGAGTGCCTGTGAGAAATGAGTCAGCAGGTCTGTCTCTTACGTTGTTGCGACCTCCACCTCCCGAGTTTATCATGGTGTACAGGTTTTCACTGGAGTTGTTGGAGTCTGAGGGTGAGAAAAGTTTAATTAATGTGACTGAGGTTTCCGCATGATCAGTTCAACGATCAATAGTGTGCTTCAAGCAAACCGTGTGCAAAATTGTGCATCTTTGCAAATCAGAGATCAACTAAATTCAGTTGTTGAAGCTTAGGAAAGACTGGTTATGTGGCAAGCGCACCTGCTGGACTGGGGACAATCCCAGGTGTTCCAGGAGGGCCCCCTCCTTGTGGACCCTGGAGAAACAAATGGATTACTGCATGAGATTCATTTCTTCAAAGTCTTTATTTGTTATTAAAGCAATATAAAATGCACTAGGATAAAGAACTCTTTTCTTACACCATATGCTCCAGGAGATGGTGATGAATATGGCATCTACATTAAATAAATAAATAAAGGTTGTTATTGTATTTTATAACAATAATTACAATAATCCAAGTAATAAAAGAGTTAAAATACTTTAGAGGTAGTTAACCCAAAAATGTAAGCTTACTTGACCTTTAAAGACCTGCATGAGTATCTTTCTTCTGTTGAACACGAGAAGATTTAATAAATAACAGTTACAAAGAAAATATAATGTATCCATGTTTTGTCCTACTATGGAAATCAATGGCTACGGTGTATTGTCTGGTTACCAACATGTTTCAAAATATCTTCTTTTGTGTTCAACAGAATGAAGAAACATGGGTTTGGAACCACTTGAGGGTCAGTAAAGTGAGGGTATTTTTTATTTTTTGGGCAAACTAAACCTATAAAGGTAGTTGAACATTTAAAATACATGCACTCACATTGTTGGCATTTGGATTTGGCCACGGTGGTCTGCCATTTCCAGGCCCCCTGCAAACACACAAAAATTTTTTACTAAATTGTTTTATATTTAATAAGTCTGCATTTATTTAATAGAGTAAAGTTCATATTCATCTCATATTTAAACAGTTCACAATTTTTATATATTTTAATTGTTTAAATAATTTTAGTTTCATGGTTTTAACCTGAATAATTCTTCCCTAAACATCTGAATGGTTGTCTTTATTGTCACAAGACCTCTTACATGTTCACTCCTGGCATCCCAGGACCCATTGAGTTGTGTGGTGGTCTCATCCCTCCTCCAAAACCCTGGGGTCCGGGGCCCATAGGACCCATTCCTCTAGGAACATTCATCCTCTGCATCGGCCCTTGATATGGGGACAAGACAAACCAGTTTACACCATCTTAAATGTATTTTAAAACACCAGAAACTGATAAAAGCCATAAGCAATGAAGGCTCACCCTGTAGTCTAGGATCCATGTTGGGGAGCATTGGCTGGGCGGCTGGAACTCCACCTGGGGGCTGGAAGAGTGTTGAAACACAAAGATTAGGTATACCAATAATAAAATGATAGACCAATTTTAAAGAATCCTTTAAAATCAATACACTTTAATAATAGCCAATTATGCATGGGCTTTAATAGTTTTGAGGTGTACATGGCTAACACACAATGTGTATGGTAGATAACAAAAAAAATAAGCAAACGCATTAAGGGTTTGTTAAAAACTGTAGACTACTATGCTTGGAGAAACAGAGAGCATCAGTTAGGCACGAGGGGTTGTGTTGTGCTGGACAACATTATCAGATCATTAATTATCCAAAATGTATGATAATATTATCTAACTTAACTGGTACATTTGGCTTATAAACAAGGATCAATGATTAAAGTGGTCTAATAACCAAAAGGCACAAGTCATTTAGGAGTAAATGCTGGCATTTTCCCATTCTCCAGACTTTCCTTAATATTCACAATATCCTATGCATATTTAGGAAGAAAAGAAAATAAAAAAACTTACAGGAACAAAGAATTTGCTCACATGAAAGCACAAATGCACCAGTTACCAGTGTGTGTACTTCTAAAATTGCCCAATTGACAAACTGCAACTTAGTCATTACAAGTAACAATTAAATGGTTTTATTTAAATGATTGATAATGATTTTTCCTACAATCCTTCTAGCTTTTATTTACAATGAAAAATAGCTTTGGGTAAGGATGTTTTGAGTTTTAAGTGCCATTTGGACATTCTGTCATGACGGGCACAATGTGCCACCAAAACAGATCCATCTTGCAAAATGAATGTCAATTGATTAATTGAAAGATCATTTAAATAGATGATCACCAGCTATGTTTTCATTCAAATATGCAAATTAGACATTTGAGCAAATCTGGAATATGTCATAAAACATTTGCAAATAAAGCAATGTTTCCATTCAATAAATCAAAAAAAGAACAAAATCATCATTACCTCCTAATAAACTGGTGCCAAATATCAAAAAGCAAGATGGAATTTCCTGCATTAGGAGAAGTCGCTGTGGGCCTTTATTCTTATATAATAAAAAAACAATGACTGTGCGCTGGTTTGTGAAGGCAGAGAGCTGTCTTTGATGATGGACTTTGGCATTTTAGAATGACCAAAACAACATTTCAGATGTTGTTCAATGTTGTCGATCCGCTGGTTTGTCCATTAATGATGTTCAATCACACCCATCACATGATCTGTTAAACCTATGACTTTGAGGCACATGCTGGAATTTATTAGAATGTAAAGGATCAACGAAGTGGGCTTATAACTAAATTAGGATGAATAACTAATTCTATTCTGTCTAGAATTTTTTTTTAAACATATATTACCACTAGGTTGGACTACTGTAACTCACTATACTTTGGGAGGAGTCAGAAAACCTTATCCGGTTTACAATTAGTTCAAAATGCTGCTCAAGGCTTTTAACTGGTATCAAAAACATGACCACATCACACTAGTCTTGCAATAATTAATATAACTACTTAAATCAGAGTATTATTTATGTATAAAACTATACTTGTTTGCAAAAAGCCACAAATTAAAGAGCCCATATTATGGGTTTTTGAAAATTCCCCTCCATGTAGTGTGTAACACAGCTCTAAGTGAAGTGAAGTATCCAGCTAAGGCTTAAATCTGTAAGAATACAGTGTTTAAAACTGTTGATTCATCTATAAAAGAGTCGATTCATAGTGCTTCAAACGAGTCGCCTTGATACCGACTCATTAGGTGTTTCGCCATGACGTACGAACGAAACAAAGTTTTTCACGTGCACGCGCAAACCCGGGAGATTTCAAACCTGAGGCCCCGCCCTCTGACGCAGTAACCCAGACACACACACACACCCACAAACACACGCACACAAACATGCCGGTCGATTGAAGTCACATTGCAGATGGATATATTGAGTCTCTACCCAAAGATGAAACCTCAGCATTATAGCCAAGCAGTTGGAAACTACTGGAAACTTCTGGAAGCTACATGCTACAAAGAATACTTCATCTGCGTTTGTTAAAGGAAGGATCAGTAACTTACTGATGGACATCAGGATGGGTTTCTTCCATTTCTCAAGTGTAAGTACGTGCGGTTAAAGTTGTTGCCTCGTTGACTCTAGCTTGCAAATGTATTTAGTTGTGATTTGTTACTTGTAACCGAGTGTACTGTATCAGGTTAACTGGCTATATTCTCTTATCGCGTGCAAAGTCACGTTAAAAACGCGACGCGTGCTGCTTTGTTTATGGAGCTCCGTGGTAACGTTAGAGGTGTGCATACCCGCGGCTGTCCCCGCGCCAGATTTCTGCGGCGCGGGAATAAATTTCCGAATAAATCGCCGGAGCGGTCGGTAACGGGTTTGATTTGGGACGGGAGCGGGCTGCCTGAGAAAGAGAAAGATGTGTCTGCTTGGTGCTTGTGTGTTAGTGCGCACGCGCGCGTATGAGAGAGAGAGAGAGAGAGAGAGAGAGCGAGCGAGCGAGCGAGCGAGCGAGAGCTTTATGCTTGGTGCTGTGTGTGTGTTTATACAGATTTTCGGTTTTGTTCTCCCCCGCTCTTTAGCGGGATCGGGCGCGGCGGGCAGAATACGGGGCGGGTTCTAAGGCTAAAACCTGGCGGGTGCGGGCGGAAGCGGGAGCGTTCTCGTCCGGAGGTGTGTGTGTGTGTTTGTGTGTGTGTGGCAGCTAAAATCCACGCCTACACTATCTAGCGTGTATGAACTGTGATTACTTTTTAAATTGCTGATTAGCTATTGGCCATTTCACTCTCTGACTGAAGGCAGTCGACCAATCGCGACAGACTGTCATCGGTCCAATCAGCGCAGATTAGCTTCGCGCTAAGGAGGGGTTTGGGAACAAATGAATCACTGAACGATTCATACAGGAGTCGCTGGGATAATTAGGTAAAAATAAATGCAGATTATAAGACCATGAAAGTGTTTTTTGACCTTGCATGCATATTAGACTGTTGTTGGAGACCCTTACAACCAAGATATGACCCTATTTCATGTATAATATGGGCTCTTTAAGTTTAATGATCTTTAATTTTTCCAATTTAAACTTTAAATGAAAAACAAATGTTTGTTTTTTAACAGTAAAACTTCTCTAAATATCCAAAATATGAATAAATTAAAAGCAAAACAAGTGTTGTACTACTATTCACTTATAATGTCACTTGAATCGGCTTAAAAGTCCAATCGCTTTATCAAACTGTATGGGGAGACTCAACAAGCGGTAATAATAACAGTTTAAAAAGTGATGCAATACTTTCGAATATCACGATTACAATATATAAAACCATGCCTAATATTCGATGGCCAGAAAGTGATATATTTTTTATAAATGGTTTAAAATTGATGTCTGTGATAGTCCAGAGACTGTTGTGTAACCCATGATTTTATATAAAATTGACTATTTTGTGATGGGTCAATAAAATGGTCATAAACAAATACTTTTTCAATTCAAATATAGTTGCGGCTTGGACCCGGAAACAGTACGTCACGACTTAAGTGGATTATTTGCTTTACAAACATACTGACAAGTGATTAAGCAGCAGAATTGGTTGAGATATCAAAATTATAGATAATAAATAAACAACAAATATCTATTTGGTAAACAGAGGTAGAAATCAGAAAAGCAGTTAAACTTTCACTGCTCAGTGCAGAAATGTAACGTTATTAGCATTCGCTGAAAACCACAAAAATAACTAACTGTAATATTTTGCTGCTGTTGTTTGCTGATTTTAAATACGTTTCTAAATTGTAGTAGTGTAACTGATCACAAATCTCACTGTTCAGATCACGTTATGGTTTAAGTCACGGATCAGACTATTTTTCGGATCAGTCAAAAAGGGGAGGAGACACATGTCATTCGCTTTCCATGTTTCATTGCAAGATGTGTCATTTTTGAAAAAAATTTCAGTGGCATATTTTTGATGGCTGGTTGTCACCACTTATTAGTTAAATAATGTAATTGCTGCCTACAACTTTTATTTCAAGCTATAAACTTATCTCAGTATATCAGTGTTATTTAACTCTTTCTAACTTCATCTTAAAAAACTAAAGACTCCATCTTTCTTGATTATTGCATTTTTCAAACACAGATTTGATCGTGTATAATTTGTTGCGTGGGTGTTGAGATCTCGATCTTTTAATGATTAATCGTGCAGCTCACACTGCATGCATTAATGCAGAATAAACAAGTAGTGACAAAAAACACCTTTAATAACCTAAGAAACCCACCACATCCTAAATAACCTATCACACCTGCTTTCATCATCATTATATTTTACATGAAAGCCTAAATGCTTTCATACATGTGATTTGAATGGTGCAAGAGGCGATCTTTCTGCGATCATAACACATTTAGGATTAAATCTACAAAAACGAAAGGTATTAATCCGCTGAACCATGGGTTGTGATCCGTATGAATCACAGATCAACCGTGAATCGTTACACTTCTAACAAATTAGATAAAGTTTTCCCTTCTTATTTACCATGTTGATGAACTCACCTGGTTGCCCATTCTGATAGGGGGTCTTGGTCCTCCCCCAAAGCGAGGGGACATGAACGGCTGCAACACAAAGCAGAAAACAGTAACGCTTGGCATTTTGCCTGAATATAATGAAGTTGCAACCAAACAAATTAAGCCTGCAAAAACGCAGCTCAGCAGAGCAGGCCAACGGGAGCACAGCGAGACTGAAACCACACATAGGGCAGAATCTCTCAAACCAAATAGACGGGAGCCGCTACCTGGCCGTGGGGTCCCATCATGCTGTTAGGGGGGGGAGGAGCGTGAGGGGACGCCTGCGAGCCTGGAGGGCCCTAAGAGTGCACACAGGAGCAAGAGACCAAGCCATGGAAATGTAGCCAGTGATGGAGAGACAGAGACAGAAGAAAAACAGAGTCATTAGGCTATTTTAAGAGCTGGAAAGAGAACAACACCACAGAATGCACAGAGGATCATAAGCGACTGGCGGATGAACAGCTAAACTTGCACTGAAAGCGCAAAGCATTGTGGAGACGCTCGTCAAACAAATGAATGAGCAAGTGGGGTCAACAAGAGCACCGTTTATATGGAGAACACAATTTGCATTTAAAAAGTAAAACACAAGCATCTGTAATTAAACAAAGCAAACACTTGACTAGTCAGTTGTCTGATGTCCTATTCTTTTGCTCAACGTTGCATAAAATAAAAGCAATTATATTCACTTCTGGTCAATCTTGGCTGATTGAAGAAGTTCTCATTAATGCTGGAAGTTTGTCGGCAGCTTTTATCGTATGCATCCTACATCATTAATTATTTATATATTCAACATTCACAATTCAAATTTAATACACAGGTTAAGTCATTTATAATTATTTTTATACATGTACACATTCATAATTTGAACTGCAAAAACTAATACATTTACAAGTATTCAATAACAATGGTATTAATAATAATACTTTTACAATCAAATTAAATGCATAAATGCAAAAACATTGGTGACCACTGGCATAGACTTATTCCTCATCACGAAGAAACATTTTGTAACTTAAGCTTTTCAACAGCATCATTTTCATTTTTATCCAAACCTTTGACAAGTTGTCCAAGAAATTTCAGAATGAGAAGCATTTTAATAAGATATGAAAAGATAAACAGAGGGAGATGGTCTAACCTGGAAGAATCCAGGAGGCATTGGTCCACCGGGCATCCCATCTCCTGGTGGCATATTCCCAAGAACTGGACTGGGGGCTGCAGCAGCACTCTGCAGGTATAGATCAAGAATTAAAAAAAAGAAAAAAAAAAAAGACACTTATCTGGAAACCAACTAGACATGCTAAAAACACTGATGCTTTTATCCTAAGAAAAACTGAACTAGTAGAAAATGTAACTAAATGCATTTTAGCACTCATAAATTTGTGCTCCAACACCGAGCAATAAAGCCAAAATGCAGAGAAACAACCGACTGGTGTAAAATCCAATTTTAAGGTCTACAAAACCAAGAGGAAAGAACTGGGTTTCAGAGCACAACAGGGATTTGATCATGCATATAATGGCAGCGGAAAAAGCACAGTGTGGTCTGCTGCCTGTCACACTTCAGGCCGAGTTAACGGAGCAGGGCTTTTCAGAGAGCGCTGTGAAATACCACAGAGAGGAGGCAGAGAGAAAGAAGAGCAGCTTACCCTAATGGATCAGAACCGGCCAATGGGAAGAGCCAGACCGAGACTGATCCGCTACAATGGGGGAGCTATGCTTTCCATTCAAACTGCTAAGACTCGCAGCTCAAGAGCCGAGAAGGCATCTTATTTTTAATATCTGCACAAATTCAAAATCAGATCTAACACGCATTTGTGGGTAAATTGTTAGTTTCAGCAAAAAGATTAGGTCAAAATTTAAAAGGGGATTTAAGCACTAGAACAATAAAAAACAATGACAATCTGTCTATACATTGGAATTGTTCATTGTTAATTTTTTTTCTTGCCTGTGCAAATTAATAATAACGACAAAATCAAGTGCAAAAATAATTAATTGTAAATTTTAATATTTCTGTTTTTGTACTATACTTCAAACCACTAAGATTTACTCATCTGTTGGCAAGTAATAGGGTAACACTTTTTTTTGATGGTCAATTTGAGTATTAGTAGACTGTCTGCTTAATATCTGTTGGTACTGCACCTGATTACCTGGTTATTAAAATGTTACAAATTGCTTCTAAACACTGCTACAACTAGCCCAAAAGGTTGATCACACGACAAATAAGTCATAAATAGAATACTATAAGCAGGAGAAAATAATAATTCAATGTTTACCTGCTCTATTTGTCAATGAAGGCATTTTTGTGTCTTTGCTCAGCTCACCTCTTCATGTCTTCTAATGTCAGTGGTTCGTTCACGTTACACTGGCAGTCACATATAATCTTAACCAATGTACACAGTCTGAGCCGATAGGAGCCATGAGAATTAGTTCACCTTTCAAGTCTTGAGTTGTTCGTTATTTACGTGACAGAGTGACTCAGACCCCCCTCAGACTCAGACTCGAGTCCTCAGATAGAGGACTCGAGAGATGAACGGTTCAATTCTTTTTCCGGCTCTAAACGCGTATGATTGGCCCGTGATGAACGAGTGACTCAGACCCGATAGAGGACTCGAGAGATGAACGGATCAATTCTTTTTCCGGCTCTAAACGCATATGATTGGCTTCTGCCTTTCCGTGATGAACGACTCGAAATGTGATTAAGACTTGAAATGAACGATACCACCTGCACAAATGTGCACACGCGCGGATGAACGAATCACTCCCTGAGAGGACTCGTAGTTCCCGAGTCATATTGAAGATTCGTTCAAAATGAACGAATCGTTAATGAACGACCCATCACTATTGCAAATGCATGTCAACTTACACTAACCACAACCTAACAGTCTACTTATAATCTAATGAGAATTAGTTGGCATGTAGATGAAATGCAACTTATATTCAACAAATGGACCATCAAAATAGTGTGACTGACCAGTAATTGTGATCATTTTAAATATATTTTACCATAATTGCTTGTACCTTTGCATATTTTAATCAGTACAGGTCAGATTAAGAATGTCTTTTTATTCGTGCACAAATATTTTCATTAAAATGTTTGGTAAATCGCATTTGTACATTTCATTTAGTATAGACAATAGACTTATAACAGCTCTGACTTGCACATAAAATAAAAATACTCATTTAAACAAAAAGGTAGGAAAATTAATGTTTTTGTATTGACTTTAGGTTTAAGGTGGAGCACTACAAGATCAAAAACTAAACTGTAATTAAACAAAACCAAATTAAGGTTAAAATAAAATTGTAAAAATAAAACTTAGAAAGTAAACTAAAGGATTCAAAAGCATAAATTTACTAAATTCACAAATTGCAAAAAAAAAAAAAAAAAAAAAAAAAAAAAAAAAAAAAAAGCATGGCAAAATTACTTAAAATAAAAATAACTAAAAAAGGTTCGTGGAAATTGGGCCAGATCAGGTGGACGTAATCATGTCGGACATTACCTCCCGATCAGGGCTCAAATATACAGTTAAAGTCAGAATTATTAGCCCCTCTGAATTATTAGCCCCTGTTTATTCTTTCCATGATTTCTGTTTAACGGGGAGAAGATTTTTTTCAACACATTTCTAATCATTAGTTTTAATAGCTCATTTCTAATTTTCTGATTTTTTTTATTTTATTTTTCCCATAATGACAGTAAATAATATTTGAGTAGATCTTTTTCAAGACACTTCTATACAGCTTAATGTTATATTTAAAGCCTAAACTAAGTTCACTAGGCAGGTTATGGTAATTAGGCAAGTTTGTATAACAATGGTTTGTTCTGTAGACTATTGGAAAAAATCTTAAAGGGGCTAATAATTTTGATCTTAAAATGGTTTTTAAAAGGATAAAAGCAGTTTTAATTTAGCTAAACTAAAACAAATAAGAATTTCTCCAGAAGAAAAAAATATATTATCAGACATACTGTGAAAATTTCTTTGCTCTGTTAAACATTACTTGTGAAATATTTAAAAAAAAAAAAGATTAAAAAAAAATTAAAAGTGGGGCTAATAATTCTGACTTCAACTGTATATGTATACATATTCTCATTATTTTAAACACATCTATATGCAGTGGCACAGAGTTAGACCTCTTTCTTAACTTCACACAGCAACGCATTTGACATCACTTTGTTGCAGAGACGCTATTGGTTAAATGCCGGCAAATGAGAACACGGAAGCAGCTTGAAGCATAAAGTACAAGTATGTCTGTGGTCTGGAGGTATTATAAAGTTAATGAGATTTTTAGCGCCGTCGCAAACGTCCTTGATGAGAACAGAACAAAACAGGGCTCAAATATGACAAGGTAGAGATATTAGTTTTCATTAAGAAAAACATACATTTCCTTTTGTGAAACTTACTACTGTAATGACAGTAAGAGTTAGGTGTGCACCTTCTAAAAGCACATTACTGGCTTTGCAAACACGGTGGCATTTTATTTATTTTTTGTTTACATGCCTGCCGGGTATTGTAGGTTGAGGTGCTATTTGTCTTTATACAAGATTTTTTGTAGTTCAAAAATGAAGAATGGATGTTATTTATTACTTGACTGTTCAAGCTACCTCATAGAAGAGTTGTTGAATGTTAAAATAGGGTGAATTAAATAAATTAAAAAAAGGAACATCCTGGATCATTTTTTTTCTTTATTCTTTATGTATTATAGAAGTATCAGATCAGTTCCCGATATCAGTAGACACTCAAAATAAAATGAGTTGGACTCGAGGGCAAAAAAACCTGATTGGGACATCTCTAAATGGAAACATTAGTATATAACATAATAATAAAAACAACATTTTAAAGTTTAATTATGCTAGCAAAACTTGCTCCCCCCTAAACTAGTGGTATTTCTGCTGATGTCACCATAGCCTTCAATTTCCTGTTTTGCAAAGTAAGGCATCCGTCAAAATGAACTGTAAACTCTGCACTGCCAATGCTACAAGTCATTTTTAAAGAGCCCCTATTATGGGTTTTTGAAAATGACCTTTCATGTAGCGTGTTACACAACTTTAAGTGAAGTGAAATATCCAGCAAATGCTTTAATCTGAAAGTGAAGTGTTTAAAACTATTGATTTATCTATAAAAGAGTCGACTCGTAGTGCTTCAAATGAATCATCTTGATAACGAGTCTTTAGCCGTTTCAGCGTGTCGTTGATACGAAACATAAGCCCCACCCAATAGTTGCATGGGCAAACCCGGGAAAATTGAAACCTGCGGTCCCGCCCACTAACACAGTAGCAAAGAAAAAGAAGACAAACACTGTAGCAGACCCCGGTGGAATCAAGTCATCAAACGCTGTGCTCAGCTGGATAATATTGAAAGCGTGTGTGAAAGTTAGTGGTATTTTCTCTACTCAAAGATGAAGCGGTGTAGAGTCAGTGGTTGAGGTTTACTTTTGCAAAAACACCACAGCATTACAGCCCAGCCTTGTGCTGTTCCCATCATTTTTCAGACGAATGCTTCTGCAATCTACACGCTTACAATAGGAGATTCGTCAGACATTTGTTAAAGCTAGGATCAAAGACTATTGATGTATAGGACTTTGACAGAGCTCGCAAAGTTTCTCTAGCTTGCAAATTATGTATTTAATAGTGTTTTGTTACTATGTAACAAAGTACTATGTACTCTTAGATTACCATGTACTCTTTCTGGTTAACTCTTTATATTCCCATACTGCTTCTACAGCCAGGTTGAAAACACAACACAAGCTGCTATGTTTACGGATTTAAATGCGTTTGTGAGCTCGCGTTCCACTGCCGTTTGTCGTTGCTATGCCCACTATTTTTGCCGCTGTGTGGATTAATACAGAATGTGTGTCATGGTTAAGGATAGAGCAATATGCTGGTATTTAACTGCACTGCTTTAATGCACTCCGGTAGACTGGGAGAGTTAGATTCGGGGGGAGGTGTCTGAAAAGCACTGTTGAGAACTGGATAATGTGCACTGTAGTGTTAGTAAGTTAAATACTATGAAGCGTGTTTTGGTTAAGAATACGGGAGTTTTCCGGGATAAATAACAAAATGGGTGCGTGGCTGGAGATGGGCCTGAAATAAGGGAGACTCCCAGGAAAAACAGAAGTGTTGGCAGGTATGCTCACACTTACACTATGCACTCTGACTACTTCAATATTATTATTATTATTATTATTTTTATAATAATTTTTTCGGGGTTTTCACCTTTATTTTTGATAGGACAG